CGGCCTGGGTCATCTCACTCACTCACCGGGCCTGCGCTCTGGGTCTATTCAGGATCCCGCAGCCCCGTCATCTCACTCACTCCCCGGGCCTGCACTCTCAAGAGCAGGTTTTAAAAGCTGTCTCCCAGCCTGTTCTTTTGGCTACACCTGAACCTTCCCACCTTCCAGCCCAAGCCGCCACCAGCTCTGCACACTAGTTTGCTAAACCCTTCACACCAGGTTGCTAAAAGCTTTGGTTTTCTCACCACTTTTTGATAAGCCATTAGATTCCAGTTTTCTGCTCCTTTCCCTGGGACACAAATAAGGTATTCCTTAGCTAACTTTAAAGTTTTTACAATTTGATCTTGGCATCCTACAGACTTTATAAGTATTTTCCCTAATCTTCATAATTCTGAAAACAAATTTACTGACATTTATCTTGCATATGAATTATGGCTTATTTTAAAGGTGTGATTTTAAAATTATATTTAATTTCATTTTTAATAATTAACATAGACTGTGCTACAAAGTTCAAATGATAAAAAGGGTTAGACACTGGAAAGTGAGTCTGGCTTTCTCTGCCTGTTTAGTTACTGCATTTTCTCCCTACAGTAACCACTGTTGCCAGTTTCTTAAATGTTGTTCCATAGACATGCTAGGTATGCATAACTGCTGTTTGAATTATTTTAAAGGGATTTTAAACTTTTTTCCTTGATAGAATTGCTTCATTAACTTTGTCAGCATCCTTTAGAAAATACTCCAGTTCTTTAATTGCCTGCTAAAAGTGGAACTAATACAAATTCTTAAACATATCAGAGAGACCAATGTAATGAATGCCTATATTCTCATCATTCAGATTGAAGTTATTAAAAAATGATTTCAAAGGGCTTAATACTTGTGGCCAATGCTTAGAACTTACACTATTGGGTGAAATGAAGGTATTATGTGTCCCAACTACAACTTCAACTGTCCATGGTCTTCCAGCCCATTCCATAGTCCTGCTGGTAGCAACTTTAGTGTAGAATTCCTTGTCCACTACCTTCCTGCTTGGCTGCCACTACATGTTCAGAATAAAATTTCTTATGTTCTTTCTAGAATTAAAAATAGTTGACAAGGGCCAGGGAGATGGCTCAGTAGAATAAGCACTTGTGTCGCAAGCACAAGGGCCTGAATTCAATCCCTGGTTCTGCCAAAAAAAAAAAAAAAAAAAAAAAAAAAGTAGTTGACAAACAAATTATGCTTATATTTCCCCTAACCTTTATCCATATCTATGTAAAAGAATCTAACATATTAAGTCAAAGGCTTTTAATATTTTTATGTTACTATTAACATCAATTTAAAATATTCCATATATGGGGCTAATTTAGTTGTTTTGACTTGTTCTTTTCATGGAGACAGAATGGTATATCCATTATGTTTATTATCTGTGTGTGGGTAAGTAACCTTGCATAGTTGAATTTCATTTAGGGCATTTTTAAAAGAATGAATATTAGGAATGTCAATTATTGTTCTATAATCTAAAATTATAGAACAATAATCTATCTAAATCTAATTATTTCCTGACTTCACAAAAGTATCTTTTCTATTTCCTAGTTCCCCTTGTCTGTCCAGATGCACCAGCAGAACTTCAAAACAATTTTATAGAATACATCTCCTTTATACATCAATATGATGCCAGGAATTCCCCCAATGAGCCCATCCGGGGAAAGGTGAGACATTATTTAGATTATTTAATACTTCACATCAGATTTATGCTAAAGCTTTAAGGCTTTTCAAATTATAATCATCTTCATAAAAGTTTATTTAAACAAATGTATTATTAGGATAGAGTCTCAGCTACATCCCATAGTAAAAATCAAGGAATGATGTCATAATTTTGAATAAGAGTTCGGGGATTTGGTTTACTTAAATTTCTACAATTATTTGATTAAGATAATATCAAAGCAATTTTATAAATTTTTCATGCATATCAGGAGATTTATGCAAGATTTATAAAGTCAAATACAAATGAATAGTCTCTGGTTGGATGTTTTCATCTACAGATATTTGCTTTCATATTTCATTATAACTAGGCCATTTGTTGGAACTAATAGAAATTTGGAATGCAATCATAAATTCTCAGGTTCAATTGTTTGTGTTGTATCCATAGCAACCTACACAGCAAGAAAAAAAATAATATAAGTCTTATACTATCCAAATGATAGAAGAGTTGAGAAATAGAAGATAATGAATTGATGCTTTTTTGAATTTCTGGTTCTTTTCTTTTCTGCTCCTTTACTGGTGCATCCTGTTTTGTAATTTGTTTACAATGTTCATCAATAATTACTATGGTGATGTCTGTAATTTTGGCTAAGGTGACACCCAGTGAAGAGACATAACAGGAATTGAGCTGCTCTACAAACTAAACTCCCTCTTCCAGTAGTTTGTGTTCCCCCAGTTAATGTCAACTTTGTTTTCCTTTCCAGAGACATGGAGCTTTTGTGCAGAGAGAGATAAAACCAGAGCGTAGGCCAATAGTTCCTACGGGAACAGAGGTATTATTGAATGCTCCGGGGTCATGTTCCACAGAACAGTCAAAAAAAACAGAGAAAGGAAATTCAGCAGGAAGCAGAATGATCTCATCAGGTCTCTGCCAGCAAAATTCCCAAGAGCTGCTAGAGACTTAAAACTCACTTATCAGAAACAGACGGCAAATAGACAGCCAAGTCACACCCCAGAAGCCCTAAAGAAGGGAGAAGATCACAGGCATCTTTCAAATGACTGCAGGACATTCTCTTCTCACCAGTCACAAGCCTTTAAATCCACCAATAAAAAACAAGATAAGTTGTCCTCTTCAGATAAAAACACAATTCCTGGAATGTAGAGGAGTTTAATAATGGCTATCCAGGTGCTGGCACATGCTTTTGTTATCAAAAACCTCAGAATATGTAGTTTGCATATAAGAAAAAAGGGAGAAAAAGACACACAGGTTTTTAATAGTGATAACTGATGAGATAGATTATGAGACATTATTTTACAACATTTATAAGTAAAACAATTTGGTTTACATATAATGGATATTAAAAGTATAAACTTTTCCAGGAGAAGCCTTTATCAGTCATTAGTTACAGTTCTGAAATCAAAATAAACTGGGTTTATGATGTTGGCTCTATATCATATGAGCTCTTTGACTGGAGGTAAGTTATTTAACCTCTATAGACCTCAATTTTCTCATTTATAACATTAGGAAAATAGAAACTTCATAAGATTATTAATCATGAGATTATGTACAATGATCAGTAAGTTGTCAATATAATCATTATCACTTCATAAATTTAAATATTATGTTCTATAAATTTTTCTCCTTATTTTAAGACTTATAACTCCTCTATATACAACTAAGAGTGCAAAAATCTAAAAATATTTGTCAGCATATGACACACATACATTAACTCAAAGAGGATGGATACTTAGGATATCAAAATATTTCCCAAATTGTTTTCTATTTTGCTGATTTCTAAAGCTAACTCAACCTACTCTTTGGTCAAACTGGTAAAGATTAACCCTACCCGCTACATAATTTGATATATTTTATATTCTATGATGCATCCACTATAAGGTATGTTATGTGGTGTGCAAGTGGAAGTAGAATACTTCGCTACAATAATGCACGCAAATTTCCATGGCAAAATATCAGTTCCTCACTATTATCAGTGATATTGGTAAAGCTATACTATACCTTTATCCTTTTATCCTTCCTCCACTAAGGAAATTTTAATATACTACAAAAAAATAAATGCCATTGATGCAATTTATATGTGTGTTAAAGACTTCTAGTTCTTACAACATGGCAAAATAAAACTAATAGTGAACCTCTTCTATTTGAAATACCTTAAAATGATAAAATAACAACCCGTAAAGCAGTAAAATTTTCATGTTCTAAAATAGTTTGCGGAAAGAGTGTTGTTGTATTGTCTCGTTAGGGGACGGTGTAGCTCCGGCCAGCGGGGATGCAGAATGGGCTGAGGTGGCTGTGGCTGTGAGGAGAGGGCATGACGCTGGTCCAGTTGGGGCTTCTTAGGCTTTGCCTTTGAGGAGAGGTAAATAGAAGCCAGGCTTGGAAATGGAAATGGATGCAACTCTTGGAAAAGTGGGAGAGGGAAGTTAGGGCACAGTCATGAACTGTAAACATAAGAGTGCTGGGCAGATAGTAGCTATTAAGGTATTCTATGCCAAGCTGGAAAAATCTGTCAACAAAATTGCCACGAGAAATACAGTTTCTAAAGGTTGGCTTCAAAAATAAAATAAAATAGTTCGGGGGTAGAGCACTTGCCTAGCATGTGCAAGGCCCTGGGTTCAATATCCAGTACTGCAGAAGGCAGGGGGGCTTGCTGATATCTGTTTGTCAGTCTGTCTGTCATCTATCTGTCATCTGTCTTTTGGAGAGCTTGCCTAATTAATACATGCAGATTGCTTTTTTATTTTAAGGAGAATAAAAACTAATACAGAGTTCAAAGCAAGATGATAGGAAATTAACAATGATTGTTATATTGCATATTGTTATCTTCAGAGTAGTTGCTTATATTACCAGATATGGGCACGTAAAGTTGGTCAAACAATATAAGCATTAACTGGGCCAGGGAAAGAGCTCAGTAGAATAAGCTCCTGCCTAGCAAGCACTAGGACCTGAGTTCAATCCCCGGTTCCACCAAAAGAAAAAAAAAAAAATCTTCTAAATGGTGAAGCAGTGACCATGACTCATCCACATGGCTGACACTGACAAAGGATCTACAAAGTGCGGTACATGGTTTCAGGATAAGTCCTGAGGGGACTTGACTGACCGTGTCAGATACAAAAGTTACATGTTTTGTTACATAGGTCTTGCGTTATCTTGGTCTTAACCATCCATCAGAAAAGTGTAGAAATGAGGCATGAAAAATGAAGCCATGTTTATATGCTGAGCAGTAGAAGGCTCAAGTCATCAGATTCAGACATTGCCAGTCCTATGGATAACCCACTAGTATTGTGGATTACTGAACTATATTGGAATATTTTGCTGAATTCATGCACCTACAATATCTGGATGGCAATGGAATACCCATCTCTGACAAAACTGAACAAAAAAAAGGTGATATAAATGAGGACAATTTTGTATCTGTATATACAAAATAGGATAGGTATATAGTTACTTTCCTTTAATTTAATAAGAAGAAAGATCTGTACTAACAGTGTTTGGACAGGCTATCATGTCTGCATCTTGTGCTATGAATGACTACTATAAAGACAGAAATATGCAATGTATTAATTGTTGTAACTCTCCTACCAACCTGTTTTGAAGCTGTCACATTGCAATTTTTTCTCAATAAAATTATTTTTTAAAAAAGCACTAACTGCTCTTTTCTTTCTTTTTTTTCTGGAACCGAGGATTGAACTCAGGCCCTTGCACTTGCCAGGGAAGTGCTTATTCTACTGAGCTATCTCCCCGGCTCCTTGATCTTTTTTTTTTTAACTGCTCCTTTCAATAAACTAATAGAAATTAGTAGTCAGACTATCTTAGCTATCTTGTATACACATATGTATGTATTTTTTCCTTCCTCCTTTTTCCCTTTCCCCTATCCCTGTTGTTCTTTCCTTTTGAGCAGTTTCTTTCCCTTTCACAATGTCTATTATAGCTTGTGGATTCTATTTACTCTTTCAGTTTCTTACACGAGGGATACAATGTGATGTTGTTTAATTTTATAGCATTACAGTTTTCCATGGTATAGATATATTGATACGTAGCTGGCACAAATGGAATGCAAACTTTGATGTGGGGAAAAGAAAAGGGAAAGGTAGAAAGCAAATTTAGGAAAGGTTTTAAGGGCTATGGGACCGAATTTTAGTACATATTTGAACAGAAATGAAAACTTGATGGTCTCCAAGGTACAGACAAAGAAAGAACTGAAGCCTGCATGATGCTAAAATTGATGAGTACACTACATTCCCCTTACAACCAGGAAAACAACAAGAAAGCTTGCTTTTGTCTGGAATTATAGACAGTGAATAAACTCTCAGAAATTACCACCATAATCTTGTGATACCTTCTGGCTTGGAATATGATTTTACATGTGGGACTCATTACAGGACACAATTAGCATAAAAATACTGTTAGTGATACTGCTGAAGTGCCTGACAAATACAAGTGCAGAACTCCACAGAGAGATTTCCATGATCTGCAGAAAAAGCAATCCCCTGCTAAAGAGAAAATTACGAATCATATAGAGAGGAAAAACTGGGTAGGAGTCTGGAGTACAAAAATGATTAAAATCTTAAAATGAGCTAATAAAATTAAAACATTTCAATTTAGAAAACTCATATTTTCTTTTCCTTTCCATTATTATGTGTGTGCATGTGGTTCTGGAAATTATATACAGAGCTTCCTACATGCTAAGCACATGCTCTACCACTGGGCTCAGCCCCCAAAGTTTCTTTTCTTCTTTCTAGGAAATTTTATGTTGCCTCTCCTGTTAGTTCCATCCCCTCTTTTTCCTCTCTTCTCTCCTTTTGCAACAGCTATCAGCTTATGCTGGAATGCTTGGATCCATCTTCTAAGTCTCTAAGTGTGATCCCTCAGGCTGTTGGTATTATTTTTTCTCAAATAATTGGTGGTTCTTGGTTGAATATTCTTCTTTGATTATGAAATTTCTAGATCATTATCAGTTTAATCTGTTTCTGCTTACTATAACTTGACCTTGTTTTACAATACATAGACGTGGGATCTGAGGGCCATTTGCTTGGTGTACTCTCATCTTCTTGGGCAGAAGCAGCTTGCCTCTTCCTTCCTGTGGTATGATGCAGTTTTTGCAATTGCTGTCTATTACCTAACACAAACAGGAGAACATGGAGGGATGACTTTTTAGCTGGAAATGTGTTGGGCCAGAATAAAGACAGTATTTCTCAGCTTCCCTTGCAGCTACAGTGACCATCTGACTATTCTGAGATTATAACCAAAACAGTGTGTGTAACTTGCAAAAATATCTTTGAAGGGACAATATAGGCCTCTCTATTTTTTCCCCTTCTAATAACTAGAAAGTAGATGTGATGGTTTAAGGTTTAGCCATCTTGCTGAAAAGGAATAATAATAAAATTGAAGGGTTCTTGGGCCTCTGACATCATCAAACCACCTGGGAGCCTAATTTGTGTGAGAAAAAAATAAAGTTCTGTCACCTACAAATCACTATGATTTACCACTTGTAGCAGAATATAATCTTAAAATACACAATGACTGAAAATTTTCTATAATTAAAAATGTGAGTCTTTGAAGGAGAAAGGTGAATTTTGAAAGGTGAATTCACATAATAGTGAAACCACAGAATATCACATAAAAGGAGAAAAACCTTATCAGAGATAAAGTACATTCTTACCAAATAATGATAAGGTTAGGAACATATTACCCACAATAGATGCAAGAATATCATGGAGTAATATAAAAACATTGAAGACAATAATAGTCAACACAGAATTTCATGCTTAACTAAACTAATAAAGAATAAGGGCAAAAATACGGACATCTTTAGATATACACAGAATAATAATAATATTGTAGTCTCTTACATAATATGATTGTATAAGGGATACTATTCTAAATGCTTTATATATTTTAGCTCATCATCTAGAGAATAGTCCTCAGATGTAGATACTATTATTGTGAAATAGCATTAATACTACAATTAATACTGTTGTAGTAATAATAATATTATTATGAAACCAAGATACAGGGAGGCCAAGTACTCACACAGGGCCACATCACTAGTATGTAGCCAGACTGGGGTTCCAGCCCAGGTATTTTACTCCAGACTTAATCTTTTTGGTATATTACATAGACTCTATGACTAATAGGATTTCCTACCTACAGATTTTCACTGAAGTAACTACTGAGAGATGTCATTTAAAAGATTGATATTAAATTTAAACAGAAAAAGTAGGATGTTAGGGCCAGGGAGAGAGCTCAGTGGTTTAAGCACCTAGCAAGTACAAGGTCCTGAGTTTGATCCTCAGTACCAGAAAAAAAAAATCAAAAAGTAGGATGTAAGAAAAGAAAAATGTATAAATGATAAAAATATTTTTTCATGAAATGATCCAGATAATAATTTCTAGGGGACTTTTATCTTCTGTAGTTCTTTACTTGGCAAAAGAAAATATTTGAGAACTCAATTATTTGGAGGAATGAACAAGTCATTTCCTCCAAAGATTTGGTAATCTTCCTGGTCTGTGAAATCCCAGCCTGGAAATTATTGGTCTTAACAATTGTGCAACAAGGATTTTTTTTTCTTCAACTGAAAAAAAAAAAACCCAGAATTTCAAGATTTATTACAAGTATGTCATACAAAAAAATATTTATTGTTAGTAGAATGGGGATATTTGTATTCATGGTGTAAAGTGAAAAACCTACAGGAAACCCTTAAAATCAGTGTGTTGGGGCATGGCACCTACAACGGGGATGCTAGAAGTCACAAAATAAAAAAAGGAGAAAAAATACGCCCTCCCACCGTAGAATTTATTGCCAGTTTATTAAGGTTTATGAAGAAAGTGTTTTGGCTGATGACAGATACCAAGCTGGCCCACAGCAATTCAGCCACGAGACAGAGCCAGCGCTGTGACGTCAGTGTAGCTCCACCAGTATAAACGGATTTTTCAAGAAAGGAGAACATTTCACTTTTTACTGACTTGTTATAACTTCTTTATTATATAACTTCTCCTAATTGCTTTGTAAATTGTATTTTAAATACTGTAGATTGAGAAGCCTAATACTTTCATCCTGCAGTGCTCACAGGTGCTGGTTCTAGGGCTCCCACAGATAAAATCCAGATGCTCGAATTCCTTACATAAAACCATGTGGAATTTGTATGCTGCCTTTTCATGTCCTCCTGTATACTTCAAGTCATCTCCAGATGACTCATACTACTTAATATAATGTAAGTGCTGTATACATAGCTGTTACATTGTGTTGAGGGAAAAAATGGTATGAAAACAAAGCCTGTAAGTAAGTGCTCAGTGCAGATGTAGCTCTTTTCAAGTGTTTTGATCCATAGTTTGAACCCACAGATGTGGAAACCATGGATACACAGAGGCAATCGTACTGCGTTTTGCTGCTTAAGTAGTGCTAAAGATCACATAATTTTCTCATTATCAAGTAAACTTTACTCCAGAAGGAGACACTCCAGAGGTGTCTCCAGGGTCCCTAGCTCTCTGTTTCACAATCATAAGCTAAAAGTTATGACCTAACACAGTTTGCAAGGCTAAAATATTAATCATGCCAATACCAGAAATTGAATTTCTAGGTTTAGTTCTTCAGTAAAAAAACAATTTAGTTGGGGGAAGTTTTGTTTTTACTTGCTTTTGTTCTTGTTTCTTTATAGCAATAGCAGGAGCAGCTTACTAATTGGGTATAGTGGGTCTTGGGTATAGCAGGAAGGTTGTTTTTTGTTTTTGCTGTCTTTTTGAGGCAGGTTCTTGCTATGCAGCGCATACTGGTCTTGAG